TATTCTGTCGAAACTGCCAGACGCGGATCGCGATTTCGATCTTTTTGGATCTCATCAGCGCGTCGCAGGCAGCTCCGACAGAACACAGACCAACTTTTACCTGCTGTCTTAACAGTGCGTTTCAAAATGTAGCATTGTGCTACAGATGGCGTTCACTGTGCGAAGAGAAACAAACAAACGAAGAAAAATAAGGATGATTGTAAAGAAGAAGACTCTAAGGAACAGAACGTTATCCAGTTTGATGAAGGCAGTGAATATGATGAGTTGATGGACCAACTATCTCCTGACTCTGTTGATGCAGAACGTATGTTCTGTTCAAGACTTTTTTCAATGGATAAAAGTGGAGAAAGCTGGATTAAATGCTTAATGTGTGGGCTCTGGGCACATTATGATTGTGCTGGTCCAGAGTTTGATACTTGGATCACTACTTTTGCAAGTAAATTAAGTAACTTCTTTCATTTATCACAATATTTTATTTTCATTTATTTGATTTCGTAGATATTTATGTCCATTTTTGTTATTGATACGATGATTTATGCTTATATTCCATATATGGGTACCTATTCCATATTTGGTTACTCATTTGTGACTTTGGTTTTTGTGTTAGATTTTAATTTGATAACTAATATATTTGATTAAAGGCTATTAATTACTACATATAAATGTATGACTGATTTTAGTAATAACATTAAACTGTTCTCATTTCTATGAAGTTTTTTTTTATATCCCTAAAACAAAATGGTATTCCATATTTGGTGACTTTCCTCTACTTATGATCGAGAACTCCTAGCGGTTCATTCAACCATAAAGTTTTTCCAGCACTTCCTAGAAGATCGTACATTTATTACGGAAACTGATCATATGCCTCTTGTTTATGCATTGCACAAAAAATCCTCACCTCGTCAACTTCGACAGTTGTCATTCATATCACAGTTCAGCACAGAAATCGTATACGTAAAAGGTGAAGATAACATGGTAGATCAAATCATAAATCAAATCAGCATGCCAACAGTGCTTGGTCCACAAGAGATTCAACGAGCTCAAGCTGACGATAAAGAACTTTAAAACCTATTACAAAATTCTAACTCATCATCGAAATTACAACGGCTCAACGTTGATCCTGAACAAAATGTCTTCATTTATCGTAATATTTCTTCTAGTTTTGTTAGACCATTCATTCCTAAGAACCATCGCAAAACAGTTTTTGAAACAATTCACGGTTTATCTCATCCAAGCGGCAGGGCAACGAGCAAACAATTAAAAATGAAATACATCTGCCCTGAAATGAAACGAGATGCTCTAGGTTGGTCACATGGTTGCGTGTCGTGTCAAGAGTCTTTTGGCGGAACACCGCTCAGAATCGGTTAGAGATAGGCTTCTGAAAAGGTCATAAATCGTCGTATCGCATGTTTTAGACGTTTTAGACCATCCATTTTATTCTCATTCCACGCATAGAGGCTGTCGCTACCTCGAGTTTTTTGGTGAAACACCGCTCAGAAACGGTTACAGATAGGCTTCTGAAAAGGTCATAATTCGTCGTATCGCATGCTTTAAAGACGTTTAGCGACATACTAGATTAGATCCCAACCATATTCAAGTACCAAGCACCGGGTTCAATCATATCCAACTTGAGCTCATTAAATTACCTACAGTTGATGGATACAGATATTGTCTCACAATTGTAGACAGATTTTCTCGTTGGCCAGAAGCCATACCTATTAGGGATATGACTGCAGATACAGTAGCAACTGCTCTTATTGATAATTGAATTTGTCACTACGGTACCATTATCAATCACTTCTGATCAAGGTACTCAGACCTTTTCACTTCAATAGCAAGATTAGTTGGCGCTTTATGCATTAGAAAAACTCCATACCATCCAGCTTCAAATGGAATGGTAGAGCGCATGCATCGAACTCTAAAAGCAGCTCTCATGTGTCATCCACAAGTTCACTAGACTCGGCGTCTACCAACTGTGATCCTGGGATTTTGCACGTGTGTTAAAGAAGATTCAAAAACCTCACCAACAGAATTATTGTACGGTACAGCGCTGCGTATTCCTAAAGAATTTTTCGTAAATCAGAACATGCCAGCTGATCCACAAATTTTTGTAGAGAAGTTCAGAGAGTACACAAGAAGCATCACAGCAACTCCAAGTGCCCATCATACGAAAGCTCCAGTATTCATACTTAAAGACCTACACAGCTATTCACATGTTCCTAAGAGTTGATGGAGTTAAAAAACCACTCGAACAAGTGATTGAACGAGTCAATGGCAGAGTGTTCATATTTAATGTCAATGGTGAAGAGAAGTCAGTGTCTATAGAAAGATTTAAACCCGCTTATGAAGCAGAAAACGACGTTACTACCTTAGCCCAAGACAATGTACCTGAAACACCAAATCCACAGCAATGAGATTAAGGCATGGACCGGCCTAAGAAGACGTACACCAGAAAGAAGAAAATATCGTGGTAAAGGTCTAGATGATGGCCCCCACCCCCGAAGGGTGGGGGGGATCGAAAAAGGAGCTCTCCCCCACAACTGTACCATAAAAAGTTCGTGCCGGTCTCACCCCCATAAAAAGTTATGGGGGTTCAAAGTTAATAAATATGCCAATTTTTATACATTTCTAGGCATGTAAATATTTATATAGTCATTCTTAAACAATATTCAAAGGTAAAACTAATGAAAAATACATAAAAATATTGAGAAAGTTATATAAAACATTATTTAAATAGCTTTATCAATAGGGTAGGTTAGGTTAGGTTAGGTTATCGGGTTTTGTTCAAGTGACCACCCTCTTTCGATCCCCCACCTCCACCCGCTTGAAAATAATTTTTTTATTGAATTTTATTTGAATTATAGTGTATGAAAATTGTCAAAATAATTAAATTTCAACCTTCATAACTTTTTATGAGGGTTAGACCGCCGCAAATTTTTTATGGGGTTTTACTCAGGTGACCACCCTCTTTCGATCCCCCCTACCACCACCCCCTTCTGGGATGGGAGCCATCATCTAACCCCCATAACTTTGGGGGTGAGACCGCCACGAACTTTTTACGGTACAGTGGTGGGGGAGACCTCCTCTTTCGATCGCACCCACTCCCACCCCCGAAGGGGGTGAGGCCATCATCTACCTACCTTTACCAGTATCGTTCCCGAGTGAATGCACTAAGTCACTAGGGAGGGAGTGATGTAACCGTTCGGCAGAAACTTTCGCTGCCAACCGTCAGAGGCGCAAGCGTGCCGGCGTGAGCAGTTGATAGCAATGAAAAAGCAAGCAGTCAACAGTTGAAAATAAAATTGCATAGTTTACAGCACGCCACAGCTGTGATCCTAAAAGTATTTCTAAATTGTTGTTTATTGGTTGTCATTTTGTACTAGTGAGAGTTAATAAATATTATAATTAGTTTAAACGGTTGTTTCCATTCTCTTATAAATTGCCCAAAGAATCTATAAATCGATTAACGCCATCTAAGCATAATATTTTAAATTACATAACTTTTCGTAACATGCAGCTGTTAATAGATAGCAACACATGCATTATTCTTAAAAAACAATGTACATACAGCAATTAACTTGTGGAGTTTTGGTATGAATATTACATTTTTACATAACACGACTTAAAAATATTTTATAAAATCAATTTAATAAATATGAATAAAAGGATATACATGCTTTCAGTATCATAAGAGATGGTTTATTTACCCCCATTGCCTAATGTATATTCATAGATGATCAAACTTAAAGAGTAAGCTCTTTAAACTTTACCTCAATGTCCTTTTTGGTCTTAAACCCAAATATTTTAAAATTACTAATGAATTCCAAGAAAGAAAAGCACCCCCACCATCATCCATTGCCCCTTCTCCAACGTCCCAACTATCCAAATGTCCAGAAACAACCACCACCTTTTCTGGTTTCTCACCACCTTCAATTAAAATCCTTTGTTATTCAGGTAAATCAAATACTTCCTAACTTAATACTCAAAACGTTGTATTATTAACAAACAATAAAAACAATAAATTAATATTAAGTTCATCAGCATATAAGACACTAACCAACCTACTTGCTGCCGTTAAACAGCATTCAGTATATAACTGTAACTACACACAACGTCAGTTCTACAGATTTACTATTTAGTTCATTAATGTTTGACAAGGTCCTTTTCTATTTAAAGATATTGACTTGTTAAAATATACAGCCATGTAAACTTAACAGAATATTAAATTCGTGGTCAATCATCTGTCGATATTTTCACAATTAGTGGAAAATCTTTACAGGTGGCGTTCACTTCGTGATCTGCAGTTATTTAACAAGCTTCTCATTCACTATTATGCAATTTATTTTTGTTACAACTTTTGCAATGTATAAATAAATGCTTTTGAAAGGCTTGCCTTTTATTTCTGCTATAGTATTTCTTGATAACTTGGGGCTAAAAGTTTGAGCTTCCATTTTCAATTTTATTATAATTCTTTCACCTCTATCCTGCATTCGTCTTAACATATGAGAATCTTCTGCAGTAATACAGGCAGTTGGTATTTTGGTCACATTATCAGAGTAGTCTTGCCAGCCAGTATGAGGGGTATTCAAAGAAAATGGTGTAATGGATCTTACTAATGTAGCAACAGCTCCTTGTTCTGCAGCTTTACTTGCAGCAAACTGACGATATTTAACAGTTTCACCATAACTTATGTACCTTTCGTTAAAAATCACTATTTTCCCATAAACCTGCAAAAAGCAAATAAAACAAGAATGTACTGTCAACACAAAAACACCTTACATGTGCAGCAATGTTTTCCAATTCTTCAAAAGAATCAACAACAACAGCTTCTGCAGTTATGCCATCAACTGGAGTTCCTACACTACTCCCTAAACCAAGCATGTTTAAATTTTGATATCTTGGTTGTATTAAAACTGCTGATTCGTTACCCCTGCAAATAAAATATGTAAATTAAATCTATTTGGTATAATTAATAACAGATTCTCACCTAACCCAATGGGGAACATACACTTCTTCTGAGTGTACGTTTTCTAACCCAAGTTCCACCGACTTATTTAACATGTAGTCAATGGCATTTTCTAAATTTTCTGAACCAGCAATCCTATTTCCAAACTTATCTATAAACTCCGCTAAACGCCGGTACGTTGTATTTTGCAAATCACCGACTAGAAGGGAATGTATAATTCGATTAACAACAGTCTTGTAGGAAGCGATTTCTTTTTGCAATTCCGGAGGTATTGTACATTGATTCACTTCGTTATTAAATATAGTAGAATTAAGACTTGATAAATAACTAAACAACAACATCAATGTCACCGAAATATTTTGTAATAGGTTCATATTTACTTCGTTTAGAAAAACTTACTGTCTTGTAGAATTAGGTTATAATTTAAAATTTGACATAAATTAGGTTACAATTACAACAGAAATAGCGGCTCATTTAGCCATACTTTCACCATTATATACAGGATGTTATTTTCGCTGAATAGAAAGACTTAAACCCGCTTATGAAGCAGAAAACGACGTTACTACCTNTTTTTCATTGTCTTCCTTTTTTCCGATTAGACATCTTGTTTTTGTATAAAACTGACAAAACAGATCACAAATAGTGAAAAATGTAGAACTTTCTTTTATTTCGTTTTAACATAATCACGCATGTTTACATATAGTTATTTTACAAAAAGTCTGACGAATATAGACTGTTATCTCTTATTTTTTCACGGAAAAGTATGTATACACAAAACATGATACAACCGCATCTGTATATATGCACATGCATATTACACATATATGGATGGATGCCTAGGTGGTTTTGTGTGTTTTGCTGCCGTAGAAGAATATGTAAATGTGTGCAAGTGTGTACGGGATCGTTGTGATGGTATAAGTTCTGTCTGGGAACGAGGGGTGCGGGGGCAGCTTATTGGTGGCGGTCGCGAAGACTGCTACAACAACGCCGATGATGATGATGACGACGACTACTGAACCAAAGCAAACTGTGAAAAAGTGGGGACCGAGACCGAGAGAGAAACAAACTGGGAACATTGACCAGGAAATGACGCCGCGTGCTAATAATCCTCGACCGGATATTTAATATTTACCATAGACTCTTTGTAATAGATAACAGTAAAAGCAGGGGCAGAATAAACAACAAACAAAATTTTCAAAGTACCCAAAATTATACATAACAGCTATGATATTTACCTTCTTTTTGATTTCCCTACATCATGCATTTGCTGACAAATATCACAAGTGGTGGACGATAACATTGCATTTTGTTTGTTGTGCACATTTTACATAGAAATTACACACTTATTTCAACAAATTTGTCGATGAGGGTTAGTTTGAAAACGCTATTTTACCTACAATACAGATATACCGAAAAAAACAAATGGATGGATGGATTCTAATCATAAAAAAATTTAAAAAAGTAAAATATCAGAAGTAATTTTTACAGTTTAAAGGACTAAAAACGAAATGACAACGCCTACACTTACTTAAACCACTAGAATTAAGAAACCAAATTCAAATCAGTTCCCATTTTAGTCCTATAAGTTTCTAGAAATAGTGGTCGTATTTGTTAGTGATATTTTCTGATCAAAGCGATGTGCTGGTGGACATTAATATAACATTACGTATTCTTTACGTTAGCAAACGAATACATTTTATATTTACATTTTTGAGCATGCGCAATTCATAAAAAATTTACTACGCATGAGCAAACATACCACTTTAAGTATTCTTTTGCCTCTATAGAACGACTGGCGCATGCGCATGTTTTGAAAAGCAGTTCACATGCTTTTTTGTCGCACACTTAATCAGACAATATCAATAACGAATGTGGCCATTATCAAATAATTCAGTAAGTGAATTGCTAAAACTATTACTATGACGTATTAATATTATATATTATTTTAAAAGATGGGACAATGAGTGTCAAATTTTGTGCACATCCATCTTTTTGAATTGTTTTTTTCGGCTTACATTCGACGGTGAATTCACCCAAGTTTACGCAGATGAATTGTGGTGACAAAGAATTGACATTAGGTACGGTACAACAGGGGTATGAAACACATCTACGCACATCTAAAGTCTAACAGTGAATTTAAAAATTGTACAAAATTAAAAGTAGAATCACAGAAATACACAATCGAAATTATCCGTCAATAAAGACAAAAATTTAGACATTCTGTTAAAAATAATAAATACTATACAGGAAGGGGTGTGTTTATTTACAAAAAAAATTAAATGGTGGTCGACCGGACCCGGGTCCTTTAACCTGAATGGGATTCATTATAATCTGAGCAAGAACGTAAGAAGTGGGGTATATACTTATGTACAAGTTCCTTTCGATTTTCTATTTCGACTCTTGAGATCAATTCTGTTGCACAAAAATTCAAAATCTATATGGTCCGGATATAAAAAAATACACCGATTCTAGAAAGCTTGTAAGTCTCAACCTATTACCTAGTTCATGATATTTTTATTTTTTATGTATAATTTATGTATAAAGAGGTCATTTCTACTTCCAGGCACCTCGCAGTCTACAGTTAGAGCACCTTAAACCCTTCTAACACGTACGTTACAAAATATTCAAAACTTTCCAAAATACCACAATTCTTATCACATTTCCGTCGCCTTATCATTTATATGTATGTATATATACCTAGCTAGCTAGTACAAACATCAATATTTTTAATCAACCACGTTAACCTGCATAATTGTGAGAAAAGTCACTTTTCCATCTTATCATGTTTTCTGTTTCGTTACTGCTAATTAATAATTATTTGCGTAATTAATTTTTTTTCTTAAAACAACAACCCTAGTAGGTACTTAACAACATTGATTATACTTTTCGAAAATCTCCTCTATTCTCAAAATAGAATTCTTTCTTATTCACTTCGAGACAATGTCAAATGGTCAAGACTAAGGACAGTAGAACGGACATTTGCACTTATCGTTAGTAAACAACTTGGGCGCAATTATTTATCAAAAGACCTGAGGAAATTCCTGATTAATTTGCATTTACTTTGTACTTTGGGACATTTGATCGAAAAAAATAACAATAGTTCGTATACTGTCCTATTTCCTGACGAGAAGGTATTAAAAATGCATATTGTTAAATGCTAAAGAACGAGTATGTATAACAGTATCGATATTGTCATGTCATTCTGCTTCGTTTACATGGGTAATGACAACTTGGTGAAGATTATAATAAAAATCAGTCATTTCTTTTTTTTTTAATACAAGCTGCAACTTGTTTTAAGATTCATTCAACATAGAGTCTTTTTGTATCGTTTCTTAATTTTTGTTGGAGAGTATGTGAGCAAGCTGCCATTGACAAACGTTTAGATGAACATCCGACAATTCAATTACTTACGTCTCGATTACATAAATGTATTATCGAAAGGACAACCACGGAGCGTTTAAAAAAATCGATTGTGTTGTACTATAGAAATTGTGGATTTCCCTAGGGATAATCACGCCCCAGAGCAATCGATCTCGACAATGTCTTTAGGAACGTCGACGAACTGATACACCAATCGTTGGCCATCAACTTTTGCGAGTATTCCTCTCTGATAATAGTATCGTAAAGCTCTTCCCATTGTCTCGTAATTCATGTCAGGTTTATTTTTGTGCAATCCCCACAATCGAGATACCGCTTTCGAGTCGACTAATTTGAACACTCCTTTCTCCCTGTTCGTCCATTTTATATACCTCGGACAGTATTCACGATCCTGAAGCAACTTGAGCAAGAATTCCCACAGGTAGGTAGTCGAACCCTCGCGACTTTTACGCTTTACTGATCCAGGTTCGCCAGGTTTGGGTTTTTTCATTTTCTTTAGTTTTCGCGATGGGAAGCCAAGATCCAGCATATACGACAGATCATCGTTAATGCTGGATGTGGCCGCTTGGATTACCGACGTGGGGATGGCATGTCCTCGCGTCGGCGAAGGTGCTGAAGGGGCAGTAAATGGAGAGTGCATACTTGAGGGATGATAATTTTGCATGTGCTGGTTCTGTTGAGCTTGGTGGTGTTGAAGGGATGAGATGTAGCTGCTGTAGCTGTCCGGTACTACAACAAAAAGAAAAAATTGTTAGACTTTCACTCTTTCACAAATTAAAACTGATCCTATATTATATATGTATGGTAAGTAAATTATTTTCAAAAATTTAAAATTAAAATAGATCGCCAACGATCAACGTTTTGACCATTCATACATCAATACTAAAAATTAGAATAATATCAAAGAGATTATATTATATTATAAATATAAACAAATGTATTCCAGAGAAGAAAGAAATTAGAATAAAGTATATGAGTATATGTTACGGACCACATGGATAGTGGATACGAAAAGTAGACGACCGATCTGACTGGCTGCTCTGTATCCATCTGCCCTTGTACAATTCTTTCCTTTGAATAATACACTTCCGGAATACCAGAGAGCCCTTTCTCTTACCTGCTACCGAGTTTGTAAAAGAAACCTGCACCACCCTTTTCACTCGGTCGCCCACGACCTGACCCACTTTTCGACAAAAGAACCAACACAACTGATTCCGAAAGACAAATAATGAAATACCTAAGGGTTGAGGGCAGTCAGCCGTCAAGCCTGAGAACGAGGAAGAACTAGGTCAATGAACATACACATATGGCCTTTTCATTTATTTAAAATAGACAATTAATAAAATATGAACAGATGCGACATTCGAAGAAGCTTTATAGACATAAACTCATCCTTAGGTACTCTAACCAAGATGATAATGTACGTTTTTACGTAAAATCGAAACCCTTTCACCTGAATTTCAATTATCGTCGGGGAACAAATAGCAACATTATATTGTTCGCAAATACCTATATAAGTTTACGATGAATATAATTAATTGGTAACTATTAATAACCACCTGTTATTATTTCTAATAACCAAATCATTGGGTTAAAGTGTCAAATTGTGGATAATTCATCGAATGAAATGGTTGTTATTACTTTTAATAGTATGCGGACATATTCGAGTAGAGATGCAAAACCGAAAATTTCAAAAAGAATCTAACCTAACCAACCACACCAACCAACCCTAACCTAACCTAATTGGTGTAACCAAAATTACCAATAGTAATGCAGTTATTGATGTGTACAATTTTATTATCTACGAACTGTGTAACAAATGTATAAGATGATTCCAAAGCAATTATTACAGAGCTCATTTAGATTAAATAACATTTTCAGCTTTTATTGCAGACAATACCTTTGTTGCTAGGCCTTTTACTCTAGGTGACAAGTAAATATAAATACAATAAAGGATAAATATTCGAATATTGAATAATATCGATGCGTTGCGTCCAATAACGCTGCAGTCTGGACTCGTTTAGGTTTTGTTACATGAATTTGTTTGTTTTATGTCATTAGATTAGTTAATCGAAATTCCTAAAAAAACACATTTAGTGATTGCCACTATGGCATTACTTAATATGAATGCACGTATAGTATAGCCTTCGAAATTTCAACCTAGAATCGCACGTTTTTGACCCGTATAGCCAACGATTAAAACATTTTATTAAACACCGACGTATAAGGAGCATTAAAGATAATCCCGCCTTAACACTAAATTTCCCTAAAATACGGAATTTAGGAAAAAGTGATTTACTAATGAATATTTACAGTCCGGGTCATTAAATTACATGACATTTGGCTATTAAATTTGACCATTCAGAAAATTTTATGAAATTTTAAACCGACACCGGTCTGGAGAGATGCTTTCGTTCCTTATTGTGATTGGTTTCATTTCTTTGGTCATTTTAGGCAGTAGCATGATTGGGGACGTCCAGAAATTTTTTATCTAAAACTCGCGTCTCGTTCCTGTTACCATCTGGTTATTTCCAAACAAGAAAATTGAAACAGCAATGACTCTTTTCTGGAAAATTTAGAATTCTAGCGGCTCTGTCTAGTATTTTCAATACACCTAACGTAATAAGGGAGGTTTGTAATTTTTTTCCATCTATCTATGGTCTTTTTCCCGTGTAGGTAAGTGAAAGTGTAGCACAAATTTGAAAAACAAATGACGCTATGTTTTGGATAAAAACCTACGTAAGTAACACTTTCCAAATTCTGATTCTACTAAAATAACTAGTTGTTATTATTACTTTAGCTTTGACGTACAGACAGAATGACAAGATCTGCTAATGAGTAAAAATTGTTAGATGCAGGTATCTAGGTATGTATGTTGTTGCAACAAGAAAACAACAGTAACAAAAAACCAGGTAGGAGAACTGGCGAGGTCGGGATGTTTGACCGAATGACCCGTCTAGCTCAGCCGGCCGTGGACGAAAAATAATGCATCGGCCTCTTCAACGGACCGTTCGGACGACTGGCCAAAAACCTAACCTACCTTACGCTCTAAGTCTCTAAACGAAACAGCAGACTTGATACATAGTCCAAGGATAGTCCAGGGTCACTTTCTGAAATGCGCTTGACTATACTGAATAGCATCCACTTTTTACTAAAATTATTGCACGAAAGCCAACTTTTGTTTGAAAGAGTACAGAGTATTTTTTACAATGACAATAGGTTGAATAGAGAGATGCCAGTTAAATGAGAGAGAAAACCTAGGAGACGAGTGTAAACTACGATTTTACCTATATTTTTAGTACATAGTAGGAAATAGGAAATTGTTTTTTTTATCATTAACAATAAAATTGTTGAATGTTTAAGAATCCTAATTACCGGTAATATCTGGTATAGATACTTATATTGTAATCTATTAATCATAAACACATATGATGAAGCATGAAACATTAATTTGTTTCAAAATTGCTGTCTTTATCATAAGCTACCAAAAAATGGCAGTTTAACAAATTGGCTGCATCTTAGAAAAAAATTACAACTGGGTAGATACCTGCATAAAATTTCCGAAAATTATCTTTTACTTTCAACCGGCGCATAAGTATTGTGTGTAGGTGTTATAGAAGAATATTTTACAATCAGTGATTTATATATATATGTGAATATCAAAAAAATTAAAACTCCCACCTGAAACATATACATATGCACTAGTGACTAGTGAGTTGAGAGTTGAGACATGGGGATATTCTATTAGGTTAGGTTAAGTTAGGTTTTCAAATGCGACATCATTTTTTTATAAATAGCACTAACTACGTGCTATAGGAAACTTCATAGAAATCTACCATCTACTGTTCAGGCATCTTTTCATATTAATAATGAAGTAGGGAAGAGTATTACGTTTGGTTCCATAGATTTTGACACGAGAATATTATTAATGGAGAAACTTCGTTCCTCGGTATCTCGCCCAATGAAGAAACAGTCTTATTAAAAATTATACGTTAATTGCAATAATTAATTAAAAAAAAAACAGCAAATGTCACTTTTTCTTATTGATGCTTATTATCGAGTTCTCTTTTTCATTGTCTTCCTTTTTTCCGATTAGACATCTTGTTTTTGTATAAAACTGACAAAACAGATCACAAATAGTGAAAAATGTAGAACTTTCTTTTATTTCGTTTTAACATAATCACGCATGTTTACATATAGTTATTTTACAAAAAGTCTGACGAATATAGACTGTTATCTCTTATTTTTTCACGGAAAAGTATGTATACACAAAACATGATACAACCGCATCTGTATATATGCACATGCATATTACACATATATGGATGGATGCCTAGGTGGTTTTGTGTGTTTTGCTGCCGTAGAAGAATATGTAAATGTGTGCAAGTGTGTACGGGATCGTTGTGATGGTATAAGTTCTGTCTGGGAACGAGGGGTGCGGGGGCAGCTTATTGGTGGCGGTCGCGAAGACTGCTACAACAACGCCGATGATGATGATGACGACGACTACTGAACCAAAGCAAACTGTGAAAAAGTGGGGACCGAGACCGAGAGAGAAACAAACTGGGAACATTGACCAGGAAATGACGCCGCGTGCTAATAATCCTCGACCATCGATGTCCTTGTACCGCGAAAATAGATGCATGTCCGCTGCCGCGGCGCGGCGTGCCGTTGTCGCATCAACAAGACCGCCATTATACACGGTGACGTTCTTCTACACACATCCTTATAAAGCTACAGGTTGTCCCAATACATATACATCAACTCATTTCCTCAAGTTAGGCACCTATGTGAAAGCTATGTGACTGTTCCTAAATGTTGGTGCTATTTTCATTATTTGTATCAAACCATAAAATGCCATGGAAGAAAACTGTAGCACACCTTGACTTCACTCTACATGAATTAAGACTTTCTCATTTTTTATGCAAATATTTGGATAGCGCCGCTTTCCTTATCTAGATAATCAAAGGTCCAGATGCAAATCATTTTTAAAGATCAAATTAAACAAAAAAATTACTCCATCGTATGGGTCAATATTTCTTTTATTATGCAAAAAATAAATCTGCTTAATCATTATTATTTCTGTCAGGACCAAAATCTTATGATAGCTATGCGCCTGATTTTTGAGTTTTTCGAATGTTCTTCGTCTGTAATTCCAACTAATCCTCAGTTATTAAAATAACTTCAAGCACACGTTACAAATCGCAACAGGGATTTCTGATGCCAAATGTACATATACCGAAATACCGGATAATGTTTTGAATCTACCTATTGTTTATAAAAAGTACTTAGATTATTTATTATTTCTCGCAAATTCAAAGCCAAATTCTCTAATACACTCTGAAGTCCTTAACTTTGTTTGACCGCTCTCAGCTTCTCTGGCGTTACAGAAATTTCAAGTATTAACACCAGTCCTTACATGTATGCATAAGTACACATGGGAGTACAGTACCGATTTTGATTTTTTCTCACTATTAGTTATTAGCTATAATTTTTCAGGCAGGTATAAGATACGTATACGTGAGTCGCTTGGGTCCATTTTTGACGTCCGAGAGATAAAACTTTTTGCAATAAATATATGTGGTCTGTACTACAGTCCATCCTTTCAACAACACACATCTTAAAGAGTTAGTGCAAAAGAATTAAAAAATTTGTTAAAACGAAAGTAATATCTACCAAAAATTTGCTTTTTTCTAACAGTTTTTCGACACTCTTGTTCTTAAACATAT